TTTATGAATGAAATGTTCCTTTAAAATTTTTGTTTCAAATATTTCAAGTAGCGAATATATCTTAGCAAAGCCTGTTATTTCTTAATAGGATCCATTCATATTTACAGTCGAGTTTCTTAGTATCCTTATTAAGGGAAGGAAAAAAAAATTACCATGTTGATTTATATTCATTTTTATTCCTGAAATTTTCGACATTAGCACAATGTCATCTCCAGGGTCTTGTTTTTGCTAAGACAAAATGGTGTTTATCTGAAAATTAAATTTTTAATTGTGAAGTGAAAAACATTCATCTTTAAGGTCTTGTTTTGCTGAGACAAAATTGCTGTGTTCATCTGAAAATTAATTTTTTTAATTTTGAAGTGAAAAACGCTAAACTTATGTATTGTATAATTTTTAAATTTTCTAGTGTAAACATACACGTGCAGCAACGTCAAGGAAGGTAATTAATTTATTGAGATGTTTAATTATTTAAAAAAAAAACTATTTAAAATTATTAGTTATAATGTTTAGTATTTATGCAGTATTCAAAATTCATGTAGAGTATTGTACAGTATTCAATTAATTTTATTAAGGGTCGGTTTCAATTTTTAGTATAAATAGCTAAGAGAATATATATATATATAGTTTTAAGGTATGCTATATTTATGGGATAACGTGCTAAATATCAGAGATAGAATGCATGTAAATATAAAAATAAACGTATCAGTCTATATTTCTGAGATGAGGTATTATGTACATTATTTACATTATTCGAACTATTTTCCTCATCTTTGTCGCCATATTTATTACAACGTTTCAGCCTTTCAGTATCTGTCTATATTTCTGAGATGAGGTATTATGTACATTATTTACATTATTTGGACTATTGTCTTCATCTTTTCTCGCCATATTTATTACAACGTTTCGGCCTTTCAGCATCTGTCTATATTTCTGAGATGAGGTATTATGTACACTATTTACATTATTCGGACTATTGTCCTCATCTTTGCCGCCATATTTATTACAACGTTTCAGCCTTTCAGTTTCTGTCTATATTTCTGAGATGAGGTATTATGTACATTATTTACATTATTCGAACTATTGTCCTCATCTTTGTCGCCATATTTATTACAACGTTTCGCCCCTTCAGTATCTGTCTATATTTCTGAGATGAGGTATTATGTACATTATTTACATTATTCGAACTATTGTCCCCATCTTTGTCGTCATATTTATGACAACGTTTCGGCCTTTCAGTATCTGTCTTTCTGAGATGAGGTATTATGTACACTATTTACATTATTCGAACTATTGTCCTCATCTTTGTCGCCATATTTATTACAACTTTTCGCCCCTTCAGTATCTGTCTATATTTCTGAGATGAGGTATTATGTACACTATTTACATTATTCGAACTATTGTCCTCATCTTTGTCGCCATATTTATTACAACGTTTCGGCCCTTCAGTATCTGTCTATATTTCTGAGATGAGGTATTATGTACACTATTTACATTATTCGAACTATTGTCCTCATCTTTGTCGCCATATTTATTACAACGTTTCGCCCCTTCAGTATCTGTCTATATTTCTGAGATGAGATATTCTGTACATTATTTACATTATTCGAACTATTGTCCTCATATTTGTCGCCATATTTATTACAACGTTTCGCCCCTTCACTATCTGTCTATATTTCTGAGATGAGGTATTATGTACATTATTTACATTATTCGAACTATTGTCCTCATCTTTGTCGCCATATTTATTACAACGTTTCGGCCTTTCAGTATCTGTCTATATTTCTGAGATGAGGTATTATGTACACTATTTACATTATTCGGACTATTGTCCTCATCTTTGTCGCCATATTTATTACAACGTTTCGGCCGTTGTACGCTCCGGCTTTCTTCAGCTGGTTGGAATGTCGAACAAGATGAGGACAAAAGTCCGAATAATGCAACTAATGTATAAAAATAAACATTGAAGTCAACACTCAGAGGTGACACTGTTTTATGCTAAACTTTCTCTCTGAAATTGACAAATTGGAACAATTTTCGGTTACACTGGCTACGCGCGAGACGTCACCCCCACTCCGCAACCTGTAACATTTTTCCTCTATATTTACGATCTTGCTCCCACCACTCCCCCTACTACTAATAATAGACAGGCCTAACACTCTTACACCGATCAAGATTTTAAATTGAAGTTTTTTTCATAAAAAATCTTGCTCAGCGAGGAATTACGCAAAGATCACGTTTTTGTTAATAATATGATTTCCACTAGAAAATACACCGTTTACACAAACACCTGTCGATGAGTAATTCTCATTTTTCTGTTTATTTCTTGATCCGTTGATGAAGGACACAGGCGTGTTCGAAAGTTCCCGACTTAAAACCATTCTTTCCGTGCTTCCTTTCTGTTACATGGTTAATAATTAATATTTAATAAATGTTTTTCGTAATGATTATATCAGACCCTTTCATTAGTCCTTGTTTTATAAACTAACCTATCTATTTTACATACTATAAGAATCACGCAGGGACCACTTCTTCTAATTAATATATATATATATATATATATATATATATATATATATATATATATATATATAATTATTTCTTTAAAAATTATAACATAAATAGCACACAGGGACCCTTTCTTCTAATATATATATATATATATATATATATATATATATATATATATATATATATATATATAATTATTTATTTAAAAACATAAATATATTATACTTGGATATATATATATATATTTATATATATATATATATAGTCTTAAGGTGTGCTATATTTATGGAATAAAGTGCTCAATATCAGAGATAGAGCGTGTGTAAATATAAAAGTGAACATAGAAGTCAACACTCCTGACGATTGCATCTAGCATGAAACAGACTGTCGCTTCTATGTTCACTTTTATATTTATATATATAAATTATATATATATATAAAATAAATATATATATATAAATTATATATATATAAAAATTATATATATATATATATATATATATATATATATATAAATTATAACATAAATATGTTATAATTGGGTATATATATATATATATATATATATGTTATTATATATATATATATATATATATATGAATATGTTATACTTGTGTATATATATATATATATGTGTGTGTGTGTGTGTGTGTGTGTGTGTGTGTGTGTGTGTGTGTGTGTGTGTGAAAATAGCCAAGGAAGGTGCTCTTAAAGTCAGGAATCCCCCACCCTCTCTTGTAAACAACTTGAAAGAGGCCGTTTGACCAACACAAGGACTGACCAAAATTAATGAGAAAAAACGAATGGAAACTACAGATGAAGTTCACTTTCTTCAGAAACAGCCATTCACTCCTGTAGTTCATTGCTTCTAACAGGCAAGAATTTTGTTTTTATCCTGATAATGGCCATGCTGGCCGAAACTCGTCGAGGAACCTAACTGAAATAATAAAACAAAAAAACAAAAATACTAATATACAACCCCGTGTGTCTGAAAATTTTTATTTTTTAATATTTTTATTGTTCAAAACACACGCGCACACACATTCACACACGCGCACACATACAAACACACATATATATAATGTACGTATGTATTTATGTATATATGTATCAGGAATAGAAATTAAACTAATCTATTATATAACAATGTATGCACTTTGGGAAAAGTCAGTATTTTATTTTCTTCTATGAATAAATAATTTCATTTACTTGCATATATATATATATATATATATATATATATATATATATATATGTCTGTGTGTGTGCGTTTATGCGTGCGCGTGTGTGTGTGTGAAAAGAGAGAGAGAAAAAGTGAAAGAGAGAAAATATATGCAGAGAGAAGGCGAGTAAGAGAGAGTGGGAGAGGATTCTATAAAAATTCATGTAATTCTGTAGAGTTGCGTGGGAGTTCGTGTGCAGAGAATGTATATAAATGTGTGAAAAAAAAACGGGTCGGGAAACTATCTGACTACGTTTTTGGTAAATGTGAATTATTTTTGTTGCGTCGAGTTCATGGCTTGTGGCTTTTGGCAGGGGAGAGCAGCTGGAGAGTAAGTAGGGGAGAGTATGAATGGAGCCAAGCGACGTAAGATAATGGCATGAAAGAAGGACATAAGATAAAGGAGAAAAAAAGTGTTTTCTCTGGCTGAAGGGTTTATTGTTAGAGATAGGGAAAATAGAAAAAAGAAAGCATACACGTGGAGGGAAAAGATTACGATGAAAGAGAAAGAAAGAAAGAAAGAAAGAAAGAAAGAAAGAAAGAAAGAAAGAATTGATGGAAAACAGATTGAAAGATTGAATGAAATTATTTAGGAAATAAGAAAGAATAAGAATTATGAAAAAAAAGAATCAGTGGGTTGGGAAAGAGGATGAAAAGAAAGAAAGAAAGAAAGAAAGAAAGAAAGAAAGAAAGAAAGAAAGAAAGAAAGGAAGAGAGAAAGAAAGAATTGATGAGTGATGTGGGAAAGAGAATAAACATTGAATGAAATTATTTAGTGTAGGCAAGAAGAAAGAATAAGAATTATGAAAAAAGAATCAGTGGGTTGGGAAAGAGGACGAAAAGAAAGAAAGAAAGAACGAACGAATGAAAGAAAGAAAGAAAGAAAGAAAGAAAGAAATAAAGAAAGAATGAATGAAAGAAAGAAAGAAAGAAAGAAAGAAATAAAGAAAGAAAGAATGAATGAAAGAAAGAAAGAAAGAAAGAAAGAAATAAAGAAAGAATGAAAGAAAGAAAGAAAGAAAGAAAGAAAGAAAGAAAGAAAGAAAGAAAGCAAGAATTGATGAGTGATGTGGGAAAGAGAATAAAAATTAAATGAAATTATTTAGTGTAGGCAAGAAGAAAGAATAAGAATTATGAAAAAAAATAATCAGTGGGTTGGGAAAGAGGACGAAAAGAAAGAAAGACAGAAAGAAAGAAAGAAAGAAAGAAAGAAAGAAAGAAAGAATTGATGAATGATGTGGAAAAAAGAACAAAATTTGAATGAAATTATTTAGTGTAGGCAAGAAGAAAGAATAAGAATTATGAAAAAAAAAGAATCAGTGGGTTGGGAAAGAGGACGAAAAGAAAGAAAGACAGAAAGAAAGAAAGAAAGAAAGAAAGAAAGAAAGAAAGAAAGAATTGATGAATGATGTGGAAAAAAGAACAAAATTTGAATGAAATTATTTAGTGTAGGCAAGAAGAAAAGAATAAAATTAAAAAAAAAAAGAATCAGTGGGTTGGGAAAGAGGACGAAAAGAAAGAAAGACAGAAAGAAAGAAAGAAAGAAAGAAAAAAGAAAGAAAGAAAGAAAGAAAAAGGAAGAAAGAAAAAAAGAATGAAGCGTAATCTGAGCATGTGTATCCGGAGAAAACGAATGAATAGATTTAAATAAATAAAAAAAAAAGTAAGGAAAAGAAATATACAGATTGACTGGAAAGAAAAACGGAGCAATATGAAAGGAAAAATCGTGAGAAAGAAAATGTTAACGATGGGACAAATAAAGAAGGAAAGGAAGAAAAAAAGCGTGACGGAAATAAAGACAGAAAAAAAGAGAGTGACGAAAGAAAGAAAGAAAGAAAGAAAGAAAGAAAGTAAAAGGAAGAAAGAAAAAAAGAAAGTGAAAGAAATTTTAAAGAAAGTCAGAAAGATCGGATGGGTGAAGAATCGAGTTAAAATAAAAAAAAAAGAATGGAGAAAGAAAACGATGACAGGAAAAAAAGAAGAACAAAGATAAGTGTATCGAACGAATGAGAGGAAAGATGAAAAGATAGTAGACAAAGAATAAGAAAAATGACAAAGAAATAAAGAATAAGAGAAAATACAAAGGGAAAAAAAATCGCTATCAAAACACGATAAAAGACCGCCATGAACGAATAGAAAATTAATCAGAAAAAAAGGCAAAAACAGACGACACACAAAATGAAACAAAATAAATGAATATATGAAATATTTGAGAGATAATAGATAACTGGCACAAGGTTGCAAAAGCAGGGCACTAGTGTTACGATCCCAATCACCAAAATAAAAAAAAATAAAGTTAAATATAAATAATCAAGATGTTCAGTGGAGTAATGTACTGCGGCTCGGACTGAGGTATCGAAAAGCCGAGTTCGAATTCCAGTCGAGTTACTTACATTCCCCTACGTTTGGTATGAATTCATGATATTAATTTGCCTGAAACCAGCCTGAAGAGGGATGGGCTGCGTCAGGCTATCTTGCTCAAGGCCCACCACTTCTATAGCGGCTGCAGTACACGTGTTGCCCCTCCGAATTACGGGACTCGTTATGGATCGGGATAAATAAACAGAAGTATTAAATAACAGCAAATAAGGTTGGGGTGTGAAACAAAATGGTGAAAAATATTTCAAGAGAGTTCTTTATTTTGGAATAAACCCTCTAAAATAAGGACCATTCTCATTTCACTGCCTTGAAAAGGGATGTTGTGTAGTTATTCAGAAGGATATTGTGAAGATTTTGCATGCAAGTGAGCAACGAGGAAGTTTTAAAGAAAAGTGATGTTCAGTGTCGTCTAACATCAATCCATTCATCTATCTATCTATCTATCTATCTATCTATCTTAGAATGTTCATTATCTATCTATCTATCTATCTATCTATCTATCTATCTTAGGATTTTCATTATGTATGTATGTATCTTAGGATGTTCATTATCTATCTATCTATCTATCTATCTATCTATCTATCTATCTATCTATCTATCTATCTATCTTAGGATGTTCATTATCTATCTATCTATCTATCTATCTATCTATCTATCTATCTATCTATCTATCTATCTATCTTAGGATGTTCATTATCTATCTATCTATCTATCTATCTATCTATCTATCTATCTATCTATCTATCTTAGGATGTTCATTATCTATCTATCTATCTATCTATCTATCTATCTATCTATCTATCTATCTATCTATCTCAGTCTGTTCATATCTGTTATTGTGTTTTTGATATTAGAATTTTCGTGTGTTGTGTCAGCCCTTCTAATATCAAAAAACACAAAATTCATAATCTTAGACTCCAACACTATCTATATTTTTTAATCGTTTCACCCATGCAAGGTGATAATGCCACTAGAACGCAGGCGGGGGGAGGGGGTCGTGTGTGCGCGTGCGTATGCGTGTGCGTGATTGAATGCAATTCCCCAAAAGATAAAAAAAATATAGGTTGACCAAATCTGACTGTATTTCCTCAGCCCATATATTCAGTAAGATTTATTAAAAAAAGATAAAAATAGATAAATAAAAAGAAAAAAGAAATCTTTTTTTTGCTCACGTGTCCTCGCAACTCTTCAGTGAAGACAAGGCCAAACATGCTAAGAATTAGATACTCCAGGAATCTTGCAAATATTCCCAGGAACAATCACATTCAAAGCTTTTGGGCAATCCGCTGTGCTTCCATATTGAAAGTAATGCGGATACAATATCAGCTGGCGGAATACGACAGAAAAGGCGGGAACGAGGCTTGATTGGCGCCATTTTATTCAGATGAATTTTTCTACCTTTCATTTTTACTTCTATTTTTCAAGCATTTCTTTCTTTCTTTCTTTCTTTCTTTCTTTCTTTCTTTCTTTCTTTCTTTCTTTCTTCACTCGCCACTTTCCAAATGTTATTTCCCCCACCTATTCTTTCTTTCTTTCTTTCTTTCTTTCTTTCTTTCTTTCTTTCTTTCTTTCTTTCTTTCTTTTTCCACTCCCCACTTTCGAAATTTTATTTCCCTACTTATTCTTTCTTTCTTTCTTTCTTTCTTTCTTTCTTTCTTTCTTTCTTTCTTTCTTTCTTTCTCCACTCACCACTTTCCATATTTTATTTCTCTATCTATTCTTTCTTTCTTTCTTTCTTTCTTTCTTTCTTTCTTTCTTTCTTTCTTTTCTCCCCTCCACACTTTCCAAATTTTATTCCCCTACTTTTTCTTTCTTTCTTTCTTTCTTTCTTTCTTTCTTTCTTTCTTTCTTTCTTTCCATCCCACATTCAAAATTTTTATTTCCCTATCTATTCTTTCTTTCCATTTTTGTCTTCTCCCAATCTTCCTGAAAACTTATTATTCAATTGCAAACCGCCAAAGAACTTATCTAGGCAAATATGCAACGGACAGAAGTGATCATACGAGTGCCTATCATTATCCCTAAAAGATTGGACTTACAAGAAATCTGAAGGCAGACAATCTAAAATAAATAAGTAAATAAAACGGGGAAGGCAAAAATCGAAGAGCATAATAATGAAGAAACGGTTCCAAAAGATCTGCGCTGAATGGTGAGGAAGCAGAACCAGACATCGCTGAAGGAACGAAATCTCAAAGACATCAATAGACATTCACGATATTTGTTGCTTATAACATGTCAGAAAAGCCAAGTATAATAAACAAACCGGCCGTTCCAAGCGACAGATATTTTTTGAGCGCGCTTTGTATCTCATTTCCTTACGCTCAAAAAACGTTCACTTCCATCTGTCTGTCTGTCTTTCGATATATATATATATATATATATATATATATATATATATATATATACAAAGTGAACATTGAAGGGAAAACTCAGAGGCGACAGGCTGTTTCATGCTGGACGCACTCGTCAGGCCGCGAGTGTTGGGTTTTTTTCTCGACTATTTACGGGTCACTGGTGCATTTGGGTAGTCCATTCTGGCAGTTATTTTAGCGGGAGTTGTTTGTTTATTTACTTATTTATTTATTTATTTTTGGGGGTTAATTTGTTTTACTTGTTTTTATTTATTTTCATTCTTTATTTTATATATTTAGTATTCTTTTCGGTTTTCGATGTTTTATTAACTTATTTTAAAAAATGGGATTAAATTAAGTTCCCTTGTTTAATAATTTGTTGTTTGATAGTTTTTACTACGTTAATAAAATATCAAAAACCGAAAACAATAATAAATCAATGTTCACTTTTGTATTTACATACGCTCTATCTCTGATATTGAGCACTTTATCCCATAAACATAGCACACCTTAAAACTATATTTCTTCATATATATATATATATATATATATATATAATTAGAAGAAAGGGTCCCTGTGTGCTATTTATGTTATAATTTTTAAAGAAATGATTATATATATATTAAGAAATGGACAAGGTCCGACAATTTATTTATTAAAGACATATTTTTATGTTTAACGTTGTTATTTCATAGATACAAGTATTTAAGCAAATGCTCTGTTTATGATAAACAGTATTAAATAACATTTACCGGCCTGAATGTTAAATAAATTTTCATAGAAAATTTTTCGTTCTTTGAATATATTCGAACGTCATTTACGGAACCGTCATATACGCTGACGTGCCTTACCGATTTAAGCTACAAAGAACCAATGGAGTTTACAAGGTAAATTTACCTTATAAACTCCGATTGGTTTTTTGAATCTCGTACATTCATAACTGCTCTGGCGTATCGAATGGTTCCAAATGACGTCATATATTAAATGGACAACGTCCGACAATTTATTTATTAAAAGACATATCAGGCCGGCAAATTTTATTTATACAATGTTTTTAAACAACATTTATTAAAATTTATCTATGAAATAACAACGTTAAACATAAAAAATATATATATATATATATATTAATAAAATATATATATATATATATATATATAATTAGAAGAAATGGTCCCTGTGTGATTCTTATAGTATGTAAAATAGATAGGTTAGTTTATAAAACAAGGACTAATGAAAGGGTCTAATATAATCATTACGAAAAACATTTATTAAATATTAATTATTAACCATGTAACAGAAATGAAGCACGGAAAGAATGGTTTTAAGTCGGGAACTTTCGAACACGCCTGTGTCCTTCATCAACGGATCAAGAAATAAACAGAAAAATGAGAATTACTCATCGACAGGTGTTTGTGTAAACGGTGTATTTTCTAGTGGAAATCATATTATTAGCAAAAACGCGATCTTTGCGTATCTTATATATATATATATATATATATATATATATATGCGTGTGCGTGTGTGTTAAGAAATATATATGATAACTGACCATCTCTGAGTTTCATATCTAAGAAATTTTCAAGTTTAGAATTATTATATTAATTTTTATTCATATTATTTTATTATATATTCAATATAAATGAATTAATAAATAGAATAATTAAAGTACTTGAAAACTGTTTAGGCAACTCGGATTTGTGCAATTAATGTAAGATATTATCGATATTTCTTGATATATGTATTAAATAGATCTGTTACTTAACATTGAGTCGTGTTTTTATGCATTCGTATACGATCGCTCTTATACATATCTATATTTATTCATTCGGTTATATTTTTTTTAAGCGTTTCACCCCAAGCAAGGCGGGAAGCCACTAGCACTAGGATGCAAGGGGTTACAGAAAATAGCAAGATCAGATAGGAGTGATAGAAGAAAGGATGAGGGTAGTGGATAGATTAAGGCAACTGGAGATGACGATTGACATTACACTTGAATATCTGGAGATTATAGTTCACAGGGAAACAGGAATAGGGAAGGGAGTTCCACAGGCGAGAGGTGCGAGACATGAAGCTATTAGAGTAGAAGAGACGGTTACATTTAGGAGTTTCGACAGTGAAGGGGTGAGAGCGGGATGCCAGCCTCGTAGGACGCTGGAACTCATGACGTCTGGGAACCAGCGAATGCAGCTCCTCGGGGCAATTTCCATGAAAGTATTTGTAGAACAGACAAAGGGAGGCGACGGCGCGTCTGTGAGAAAGTGACTGTAGACGAGACGCCATGGCAGGGCCAACCATATTACATATCCGCCACTGGAGCCTATCAAGAACCCCGAGGCAAACAGAAGGGGCGCCAGACCATATATGGCAGCAATACTCCATGCAAGGGCGAATTGTTGATTTGTAGATCTGGAGGATCGACTCCGAGGAGAAAAACTTCCTGGCGCGGCTCAGGGAGCCAACTTTCCTCGCAGTGGACGAGGCCATTGACTCGATGTATTTATTCCATCTCAGGTCAGCAGTCAACGAGAGACCGAGAAGCCGCAGAGAGTTGCTCTCGAGAAGTTGAGCGTCAGATATTCTAATGGCGGGAAGGGAAGGCTCTCTGTGGTGATTAATAGAGAGCAGTTTTGTCTTCGAAGCGTTGAAGTTGACCAGCCAATTCATAACCCAGTTCACAATCGATTGGA